AGCTTAGCCAGTTCTGCCATTTCTGTGAAGAGTCTGAGGATCATAGGGTGCTATGGTCCACCAGGGCCCTGCTGGCTGAAGCCCTGGCTTCTGCCCCAACTGCCATGTGAGGAACACCTCTTCCCATATCGACTCCCTGTGCAAGCATCCTGCCCCCTGCTAACAAACACTATGCTTCACTCTCCTTGACTGACTCCAGTGCTGGCCTTCCACACTGATACCCTGGGACCAGCCTGCCAAAACCATGCCCAGCCAGAGGTAGAGGGTGGCCTCCTTATGACTGAGCATGTCGATGGTAAAGGCAGAGTTCTTTAGAAGAGAGGCAGAGAAGCTGGGCTGCATTAGTAGGAGCATTGCCAGCAGACTGAGGGAAGTGATTATTCCCCTTTATTCAGCACTGGTGAAGCCACATCTGGAGAACTGTGTTCAGTTTTGCCCCCCTCCCTCTCCTCCCCCCCCCCTTACAGGAAGGATGTAGACAAATTGGACAGAATCCAGTGGAGGGCAAAGAAAATGGTTAGGGGGCTGGGGTACATGACTTCTGAGGAGAAGCTGAGGGAACTGGGCTTCTTATTTTGTTTGGAGACGAGAAAACTGAGGTGAGATTTAACTCCAGCCTTCAACTACCTGGAGGAGTAGGGCGTATGAAAGGATGGAGCTACTGTTCTTAGTGGTGACAGACGACAGAACAAGGTGCAATGGTCTCAAGTTGCAGCAAGGGAAATTTAGGTTGGATATTAGGAAAAATATTTTCACTTGAAGGGTAGTAAAGCACTGGAACAGGTTACCCAGAAAGGTTGTGGAGTCTCCATCCTTGGAGGTTTTCAAGACCAGCCCGGACAAAGCTTTGATTGGGATGATATAGTTGAGGCTGGGCCTGCTTTGAGCAGGGGGTTGGGCTAGATGACCTCCTGAGTTCCCTTCAAACCGAATTTTCTGTGATTCTATAACATTTTCTGTGAGTTATAGGAAGCAAATGGGATTTGCCTGGGAATGCCAGGAAGCCTTGAAGAGATTGTAGCTCACAGGCCTCAGATAAACTGCCTCACGCTACGGGAATGCAAAATTCAAGGGGATGCTAGGGTCAGGAGGGACCTGAACAGATCATCTAGCCTGACCCCCTGCCACAGGCAGGAATGAATGCTGGGTTCACAAGACCCCAGACAGGGGATCATCCAACCTCCTCTTGAATTTGCCCAAGGTAGAGGCGAAGACCACTTCCCTGGGAAGCTGGTTCCCAATTTTGGCCACCCTAACTGTAAAATATTGCCTTCTGATCTCTAACCTAAACCTATTCTCCATCAGCTTATTACCATTGTTCCTTGTCACACCAGGTGGTGCTGGGGAGAAAAGGGCTCTGCCTATTTGCTGTTCATCCTCCCCAATGAACTTGTAGGCAGCCACCAGGTCCCCCCTCAGCCTCCTCTTGCTGAGGCTGAACAGGTTCAGGTCCTTCAGTCTCTCCTCGTAGGGCCTGTCCTGCTGCCCTCTCACCAAGCGGGTGGCCCTCCTCTGAACCCTCTCCAGGCTGGCCTAATCCCTTTTGAAGTGCAGCGCCCAGTACTGGACGCGGTACTCCAACTGCGGCCTGACCAAAGTCGCAGGGGGGGAGTATCACCTCTCTGGACTGGCTTTGTCTGCACCCTTGGATGCATGACAAGGTATGGCTGGCCTTGCTGGCTGCGGCCTGGCATTGGCGGCTCATGTTCATCTTGGAGTCAATGAGAACTCCAAGATCCTGCTCCGCCTCTGTGCTTTCAAGAAGGGAACTCCCCAGCCTGTATGTATGCTGTGGATTCCTTCTCCTAAGGTGCAGCACCCTGCATTTGTCTACGTTGAACCCCATCCTATTCTCGTCTTCCCACTTCTGTAGTCTGTCTAAATCTAGTTGCAGCCTCTCTCTCCCTTCAAGTGTGTCCACCTCACCCCACATCTTAGTGTCAACAGCAAATTTGGACAGCATGCTTTCCACCCCGTCGTCCCAGTCACTGATGAAGATGTTAAACAGTGCAGGCCCGAGGGGTACCCCACTACTCACATCTTGCCAGGTTGAGTACAACCCGTCCAGGGGTTGCTTGCTGAGGTGGAAAATATGTGGTAGCTGGTAGGTGGATGGGATAGCAGTGCTGGAACCCATGTGGTTGTTCTTCCCTTGGCTTGAGACTCCTAAGCCTTACCCTGGGGATGCCTGTGCAGGGATGTGAGCCCTCAGCGTGGCTAGAGCAAGCACAGCAATCCTCTTAGTCCCTGAAAGGCTACAGCACTGAGGGAAGCTAAATGAAAAAGCTTAGTTAGTGTGCACAGTATCCTAAGCCTAAATTTCTGACTGTTGTCCATGGGCATTATTGGGGGAGACTCCTGGGCTTTATTGGATAGCGTTTTTGATGGCTGCTGTGATCCCCAACACATGCTTTAATCCCTAAAAGGAAGCAGTTTTGGAGGCTCTTTGAGCCACTGCCTTTGTGATGCCTTTGGGGATGCAGCCTATATTCTGCAGAGTAACAATAAAGTCAGAAAATAAATAATACACAAGTACCTGGGTGGAAATGTGAGACAAAGGACCTTCTGTGGATCAGCCAGGCTCTTGGGTACTTTCAGTACCCACAGCAAACTTTTCCCTACCCT